GACATGCACACAGGGAACTGTGTGGAGTCTACCTCCGACATGCACACAGGGAACTGTGTGTGGAGTCTACCTCTGACATGCACGCAGGGAACTGTGTGTGGAGTCTACCTCCGACATGCACGCAGGGAGCTGTGTGGAGTCTACCTCCGACATGCACACAGGGAACTGTGTGGAGTCCACCTCTGACATGCACACAGGGAACTGTGTGGAGTCTACCTCTGACATGGACACAGGGAACTGTGTGGAGTCTACCTCTGACATGGACCTCACTCTTAGGGTAAATTCAGGTCAGGGACCTTCTCCAGAGCTCACTGGACTCACAAGAGAGAATAGGCAGGAAAAAGTGGCTGTGCAAGTACCTTCTTCCCCGAGGAGCAGTAGCTGAGGGAATCAGTGCCTTCGAAGGCTCTCGAAAGCCTTTTCTGGTCTTGGCACAGTGGGCTACACATGCTTCACAGAGCTGAACCCTGAGTCCCGAGAGGGTGACGTGATTTTCCCAAGGCCCCAGGTTCTCACCTGTGAAGACTTCCCTACACTGGTTCCCTCCTGTGAGGAGGACAGCCCATCTCTGGGTGGTACAGGCCTGAGAAACCCCACCCCTGGCAGGTCCTCTGGGCACACCGAGGCTGCAAACCCAATGTCCCCGGGAGGCGGGACTGGTGACCTTCAGTGAGCAGTTAGCCTGACCGAGCCTGTGCATGGTTCCTTCCTGTGACCAGAATCTGAGCAGTGTGTCATGGAAGTATCAGCCCGCAAAAATTGTGGGTACCCGGGCATCAGTCCGGAGGAATGCGCCTCTCGCCAGTGCTGCTTCTCGGACGTGATCCCTGAGGTGCCCTGGTGCTTCTTCTCACAGCCTGTGCAAGGTAGGAGGCTGTGGGCGGGGCCTGGCCGTGGGTGGGGCCTGCCTGGGACATGACAGGAGCTGCTGCCACTCGTTCCCACTTGCTGAGCACCGCCCCCCCCCCGTGTGGGTGTGTGTGTGTGTGTGTGTGTGTGTGTGTGTGTGTGTAGGCTAGAAGTTGACATTGAATGTTTTCCTCAGTTCCTCTTCACCACAGTTTTTGAGACAGGGTCTCTTGCTGAATTCAGAGCTCCAGGGATCCATCTCTCTCCACCATCACCCCTGCCATGCACACACATCAGCATTAGGGTTACACATGCACCGCCATGCCTGCTTTTTTACATGGGTCCTGGGGATCCGAACTCAGGTCCTCCTGTGTATACAGCAGGCACTTTACTGATGGAACAGTCTCCCGGTGGTTTGTTATGTGACCTAAGGGCCCCCCGTAGGCTTCAGCCCTCAGTTCAACTGCTCTGACTCTGAGGGTCCTCGAACTTCCCCAGGTGTCCCTCCCCTCTGATCAAGTCCTCTGCATGCCCCTCCCATGTCCACAAGCCCTCTGCTTATGGAAACAGCCCTGGGAAGGAGTCAGGCCTGTACTGGGTACCTCTCTGACTTACAATAGTTTTGGGAGAACTGGGAGGCCTAAGTGTCCCTGTTCCACCTCATCCTCCCACAGGACCTGTCAGCAATGAGCCCAGGCACTCTTGGTCCAAGATGTACTTACCAACTACCCTGCTCTTTCGTCTCCAGACTGTCATTACTGACAGGAGCTGCTGACAGCCATGTGGCTTCCAGGGCAGAAGAAGCAGCAGGCCTCCAGTTCCCAGTTCCCACTTCACGGACTCCTGGGCTTTCTCCGTCATTCTGCACCTCTGCAGGGCTACACACATCATTTCTCCAAGTAAAGAAAGCCCTTAAAACTGGCAAATTTCATTTTGGTTTCATGGATGCAGAGGTGTGATGGCAGTGTGTGTGCATGTGCATGTGTGTGAATTTGTGTGACTACATGGGTGGGTATGTTCACATGTTCATGTGTACATATCTGTGTGCATGTGTGAATACATGCGTGTTTATGCATGTGAATGTGTGCATATCCATGTGAGTGCATGTGTGTGAATGCACGGGCGTGGGGGGTGTGCACAGGTGTGAGCAAGTGTGTGAAGTGTGGGTACTCACAGGGTCTATGCATGTGTGTATAGTTTTTAACACCCTTTCATCCCCTCTGAGAACAGCAAGTCACTGGCTCTGTCCGGGCTACTTGGGTGTGATACAGCCCTACACAGACGTGAACTTCAGATTGCACTGTCTCCACAGCTCTGCATGCTGGGCTCAGTCCTCTTTAAACAGCTCAGTTGATTTTGACCCTCAGGTCCACTAGGAGGAGCACAAGATGTCTGATTGCAGTTCCACAAACACTTTGCTTTTACTAAATGGCCCACTTGCCTTGGCAATGGAGGCCTGGCTGCTGATCGCCTCCTCTTCCTCCTGTGGGCAAGCGGCAAGCACAGCTGGGGGCTGGGCCTCGGGAGGGTGCTGGGCCTCGGGAGGGTGCTGGGCCTCGGCAGGGTGCTGGGCCTCGGGAGGGTGCTCTGCCGGCTTCGTGTTCCTTGGCCTGAGAACAGCCTGGAGGCTGTTGAAAGAGGAAGTTGCGTTTCAGTGAGGCAGTTCAGGTGCAGAGGCTGGAGCAGGAATCACTCCTGCTTGATTGAAGGACTGTCGATGGTATAATGGCGGCTGGGAGGGCGCAGTGATGATGTGGGGCCAGCTCTCTGCAGCCTTTCCCTCTCGCTTCCTTTCCCCAGACCAGGCCAACTGGTCCCAGGGGTCAGGCCTCGACCACCGGCTTGCCCCACTCCAGCCCCACTTCCTTCTTGGGACACTGTCTCCGACGCTCGACTGCTCTGTTTTCTGAGACAGTCCCTGCTCCGTCTGGTTGTCCGAGGGCAGGCGTCACCATTTCAGCCTGCGCTCCCACGGTGCTGCCAGATCTCCCAGCTCGTGTCAGGCTGTCACACAGCTCCAGACGCAGCACCTTGCAGCGTTCTGGCTGTGCTGCCGTCCGCCCTTCTCCAGCCGGCCATGGACCACCCTCACGGGCTTTGGAGCAGTCAGAAAACCTAGCAACCCTAACCCATCAGAAAACAAGCCTTTCCCTCCTTCACCCCCCTCCAGTTTTCTGTCCTCCACCTTGTCCCCAGTCTTTCCAGGCTTTCTTCCTGGAATCCCTTTGGGAACTTCTGTGTTCTCTGCCGGTCCCTGCTTCCCTCCCCACATTCCATCTGCCTGCACAGGTGTCTGCTGTGACTGCCATCTCATGAGGGACCTCTGGGCAGCAGAAGAGGGCAGGCCTGGTGCGGGGTGGGA